CTCCAATTTTCCGTTCGCCTTGGGCTAAGTCATACATTCGGTATCTGGGTATTAAAATTACAGCATCCTATGAAACCTTGTACCACGCAAATTATGTCCCATTATTTAAATCACTGAAACAATTGCTCACCTCATGGACAACCCATAATCTGTCCTGGCTGGGAAAAATTTCAGCGGTTAAGATGACGCTCGTACCCAAACTCTCGTATCACTTCAGAACCCTGCCGGTACAGGTTCCCTCGTATGCTTTGCGCTCGATGCAGCGGAGTGTCCTCCAGTTTATCTGGCACCCCTTCAGGGCCAGGGTGGCGAGAACTTGGCATGCGCACTGCCAACAAATTTGTTTTGTTTCGTTTTAAATTCGGATTTGTGTTAGTTCGGGATTCGGGTGTGAAAGTCAATTCGGAATTCGGATTGGGACGAAATTCGGTAGCGGTATTCCGAACGTTCATTTCGTTTTCTGTTCTTATTCGTTTCGTATTCGTTTCGTATTCGTTTCGTTCGCAGCAAAGTGACATTTGAGGAGGGAAAAATATTTTTCTCCTTCTCTGATGTCACTTTGCTCCAACGAACGAAACGAATAAGAACCGAAAACGAAACGAACGTTCGAACTACCGCTACCGAATTTGGGAAATGGAAATTCGGATTCGTTTGCATTCGTTACGTCTGTCATTCGGAATTCGGATACATCCGAATGTCCGAAAATTCGTCCGAATTTCCATTCGGAACGAAACGAATCGCACATGTCTAGCGAGAACTACTTTATACAAACGGAAGATCGATGGGGGAATGGGCCTTCCCAATGTACTGATGTATTATCAAGCTGCTCAACTCATACCACGGATAAACATGCATCAGCGACGCTCGCCCCCTCTCTGGCTTATGTTAGAAATCCCAAATTGTTCCCCAATGCCTCTTTTGCGGCTTTGCCCTGGTTGTTAGCCCGTGATAGACCAGGGACCCTTAGCCCTCTCATGCTACATACTTTAAAGGTGTGGGACTCAAACTTTTTGGTTCCTACCAGAGAAATGTGGTAATAGGGCCTACCAGAGGGAGTTAGGTTTTGGTTCCCACCAGAGAAATGTGGTTTTGGGGCCCATCAGAGGGAGTTAGGTTTTGGGGCCCACCATATAAATGTGGTTTTGGGGCCTACCAGAGGGAGTTGGGTTTTGGTTCCCACCATATAAATGTGGTTTTGGGGCCTACCAGAGCGAGTTGGGTTTTGGTTCCCACCATATAAATGTGGTTTTGGGGCCTACCAGAGGGAGTTGGGTTTTGGTTCCCACCATATAAATGTGGTTTTGGGGCCCATCAGAGGGAGTTAGGTTTTGTACCAGAGGGAGTCAGGTTTTAGTTGCCACCCGAGAAATGTGGTTTTGGGGCTCACCAGAGGGAGTCAGGCGTTGGTTCCCACCAGAGAAATGCGGTTGTAAGGGCCCATCAGAGATAGTTAGGTTTTGGTGCCCATCTGCCCAACCTGTCAATTTTTTTATTAGGCCACCACAGAGTTCTACAAAATTGATACCACATCCATTTCTGTGGTGGGCAACCGGAGAAGGTGACACATTTAATAAGCCGCAGGCCAGCCAAGAAAGGGTGCAGAGAGGTCACAAAACTACATTAGCAGAGTCCGACTCCTAATGAGGCCTGTCGTCAAGACTCCCAATGGGGCCTGTCGTCAAGACTCCCAATGGGGCCTGTCATCAAGACTCCCAATGAGGCCTGTCGTCAAGACTCCCAATGAGGCCTGTCGTCAAGACTCCCAATGGGGCCTGTCGTCAAGACTCCCAATGAGGCCTGTCGTCAAGACTCCCAATGAGGCCTGTCGTCAAGACTCCCAATGAGGCCTGTCGTCAGACTCCCAATGAGGCCTGTCGTCAGACTCCCAATGAGGCCTGTCGTAAGTTGCCACGTCGTAAACAGTCTGGAGTAACGACCAAAGCCAAACTGTATTGTCCTAAAAAGTGGTCACACTTCATGGATGGGCAGATGCCAATCGGTTAGATCCCCATCCAGGAACTCTCCTACACATTCTTTTTGGACCTCCTATCTTTGATCTTTATGACCGCCTCAGCTGCTAACCGCTCCCCCAGAAACTTGTTCTCTTTTCCATTCTTCTGGCTGCTCGGCTAAAAAGACCACTACTAGGGCCGCTGTCCCACGCCCCCGGAAGACTCAGATACTTCCCTCTTTTGAGGAGATGCAACACCTGAGAAGATTGGAGGAACTCCCAGCCAGTCTGTACAATCGTCATGCCCAGTTCCTTGGTTTTGGAACCCTTGGATAGACCATGTGATCACCACCCAGTGTAGAGGTCCCTCATCAGAGTTGGAGTCCCTGTCCACCTAAGACCCCTATGGGTTCTACTCTGACCGAGTACTTCTGCTCCGCTTGACCTTCTCTCATGTGGTCTCCTATCTCCACCTCGTATTTCTGGCTCTTCGTATTTTGTCCTC